CGGCTGAGCTTGAAGCCCTTGTGGTAGGCCTCGGTCATCACATCATCAAATCCTGAAGACTGGACATAGTCGATAACTGCTTGAACATTAGTCTCCTTGAGGGCATCCTCGAAGATCTCGGTCTTCTCTTTGAGGTCGGCTTGGAGGTACTCCACCTCACGTTCCAGCTTCCCTTTTGCTTCCTTGAGGCCCTACACCTCGAGCTTCAAGGAGTTCCGGTCTGCCTTGAGACCATCCCGGTCTGCCTTGAGACTGTCTCGGTCTGCCTTGAGACAATCAACTTCAAGCCTCAAGGCTTCTTGGCCGACCTTAAACCCGTTCACTTCAGCCCTCAGTCTATCCTTGTCTCGGGCCAGCTTGCTCTTCTCCGCTAACAGCACTTCAATAAAGCTCTTCTGAGCTAAGGCATCGTTCTGCAGGTAGTGGATCTGACCGCGAGCTGCCCTCAGCTCGGTATGGGCTGCGCAGGATGACTTCTTAGCTTCCAAAGCCTATTTCAGATGCCGATCTGATTGAAAGGTCAAGGCACGCACGACTGAGTTCACCTACAAGAAGGAGACCAGTTAAAAAAAAAAGAAAAAAAAAGAGAAGAGAAAGAAAGAGTCTTTCACAGGGAACTCACCACCATGGTATGAGAAGCAGCCAGGGCACCGAGCTGACCAGGAGTGAGATCAGCCCATTCTGTAACCTCCTTCGGGTACGCGGCCTCCTTGCTCTTCTGAAGACTGCACGGGGTTCAAAATACTTTCACTCCCTGGCTCTCTGAGCTAGACACGGTCACCTCCACCGCATGGGCAGACTCCTCGGAAGCCTTGGCGGTGATATCAGCAGGGCAGGCCCCGGCTGTAGCCTCTATAGGGCGTGCCTCAGGGGCGGCTCTTGTATCACCCCAGCAATGGTCTCGGCAGGCTCAGTGGTGGGCTCTGCTGCTATCTCAGGACCCTGAGGCGCCGTGTCCCCCTCCAGGTTGATGACGGGTTGAGTACAGGGGAGCTCGGGCTCCGGAGCTGGAGCCTGTGGAGGCTGAGCCTCGGCGGAGGCCTGCGGAGACTCAATGCATGCCTTCTAGGCTATGCGCTTCTTTCTCTTCATTTGGCAGAAGAGCCTCTGACCGTCAATCTTCTCCGCTTCCATGGGACCTAGAGTGAAGCTCGGCGTTAGTAATCCCAAAGTAAATATATGGACAAAAGAGTCGAAGTGAAGAAAAACCTACCCGGGCTCAAGCCGGCCTAGATGAGCTTCTCCTCGGTTGTGAAGTCCTTGTAATTTAAACCGAGCTGAGCCCACGACTGGAGTGACTTCTTGGTCTTCCCATCGAGGATGACACCGGGGTCTTGAACGGCCACCCTCCAATCAAGAGGGAAGGGCCACCCCGTGCTGCTCCGAACTACGAAGTAGTCCTGCTTCCAGGCCAGGACTTTACTCGGGAGCTTGTGCATGAGTTTAAAACCCGAGCGGGGAGACAGGTAAAAAGCCCGTCTGTGCCCGGGGAGAGCGCCCGAAGCACTCTTCTTTATGGCCAAGATGGTGCTGAGGATATCTAGGTCAATAGGGAGAGAACGGTCGAAGCAAAGAGAAATGGTCACAACCACATTCTGTATGGAATTCGGGTGAAGTTGATCCAAAGTGATGTTAAAGTGCACCAACACCTCAACAATCAGGGGATGAAGAGGAAGTCGGAGCCCGTCAACTAGTTGCTCCCTGAAGACCACGATCTTGTCAGGATCGTGCTCCCATGGAAAGCTGCCAGTAGGAAGACTGTATGAGTACTCCCCGGAAAGTTTGAACCTTTGTATGAGGTCCTGGAGTCTCTCCAAAGTCATGATGGAAAGGCCAAACTGATCTGGCGCCCGACCTCGGTGGGAGGTGGAGGCCAGATGACCCAAAGCCGCCCGTACATCAGACGGCTGGGCGGCAAAAGAGCCACCCTGAGCCAAGGTACCCACCTCGGGCTCGTCAATGAGGCTATCTATGCTAGACGACATTACAAGGCGAAAAGGAAAGAATATTCAGAAAAGAAAAAGAAGATCGGAGACTCACCACAGGAAACGCGAATTGAACTAGGGGAACAAATCGAGCTAGAAGACCCGAGCTAGAGACCTCAGATGCGAGCTCAACACTGGTGTTGGGGACTTTGTGGTGAAGAAATGACCAAGGGTCCCCCACTATTTATAGCCGCTGCACCCGGGTGTTAACGGTTAGGATGGAGACGATCCAACGACTCTCAAAAAAACCGGCTACGGGTTCCTCGAGGTGAAATTAGTTTAGCGCATTTTTTGGCGTCCGCGAAGACCGAATCGCGTGACGTCCCCACGTAAACTGAACGCGACCCGGGTTCCCTTTGACTGAGCCGGGAACTAAACTAGTTCAGCTGGACGAAATGCGTGATGAAGCGGCATGGGTACCAAAGCCAAATCCACCCGGTGCAACATGAACTCCCAGCGCTGGGTCAACACCGCCAGCACAGAGAGTGGGGGGCAATTGATGGAGGGTGATTTGGCCCGACCTCGTAGCACGGGTACTCGTGAGCGTGACCCCGCTCAAGCGATGACTCAACGTGACATCACAGCAAGCGTAGTCGCAACTCAGAGGGAAGGTCCCACCGAGTTCAGCCCAGCAACTCGGCAGGATAGGCTACTCGTCGGGAGCCGCCTAGCCTGCACCTCCCCCTCGAGGCTAAGGCACCCCAAGTTGCCTCCGAGTTCAGGGCCCCTTGACCTTTCTTCCTCCCAGTGAATCTCAAGTCACTCCCAGACAGGAACACCCCAGTTCGCCTCAAGGTACCCCGAGGTGAAGACACCTCGGGCCAAACAGCTCGGCATAGCTTGCCACAGGCAGCTCGCCGCTTGCTGGATAGCCCGGCACAGGGTAACTCGCGAAAGAGCAGTTCGGCATATCGCAGGAAGATCTCCTACCCGACCACCGTACTCGACAAATCTGGGGACAGCAACCACGTCCCTCGTCAGACAGTGTCACGCCTGTCACCTTTAGAGGTTGCCTTACACCTGACAGGCACGTACCCTACAATGACGGCCCCGCGCATGTCACCTCAGCTCTGCCTGTAACGATTGTGGCAGGCTGACAGTGGCGGTTATACCTGCCCTGTCAAAGGCCAGTGGGCCTGATGCAACGGAATTTTGTTATAAGGAGCCTACTCTCAAAGAACAGAGGTAATTTCTATTTCTCGCGCTATCTGCTCTCTTAGCCTTGGTCCTCTCCTTGCTTCTTCCACAGAATACTAACTTAACCGTCGAAGTGTTCCTGTCGGGCAAGCCCCCGGGAATTCTTCTTCTTCTCCATCTTAGGTACCTTTCAGGAGCCACGCAAGTGCCAGCTAGGAGTGACCGGATCGCGCACCATCAATGCCATTACTCTGGAAAATAGTAACACATCAGTGCCACATCGGAAAAAATGGTGTTCTAGGAAACACCAATCTGTTTGGAACTATTTTTTCATAAAAAACGATGCTCCAAGTCACGCCTTGGAAATCAAAAATGTGTATTTTTGAGCAACACTGAAATTGACGTTTTCTCATATTGCAGCTCGTTGCTTCCAACGAGGACATGATGTGGCAGTTACGTAGACTTCTTATAAGTACTGGTACTGAAAACAGATATGGAGCACTGGCACTAAACAGAAAGTGTTGTTGTTGCTCCAAGAAACATCCTACCTGGCAGCAATGTTTCCAAACAGGAAAACAAAAACACCGATTCTTCCAACCCACACATCAGTAGCACCATCTCCAGCATTGATGCCAAACATATACATGCCTATTAGGTATCGATGTCGTTGCTCCAGAAAACGACAACACATCAGTGCCACGCTGGAAAAAATGGTTTTCCAAGCCACACCTTGGAAATTGGGAAGGTGTGGCTTGGAGCAATGCTGAATTTGACGTTTCTTGGAGCTGCAACTCGTTGATGCCAACAGGGACATGATGTGGCATTGGATAATAGGTACCAGTGCTGAAAACGTTTCTTGGAGCATTGGTATCAAGCAGAAAATGTTGTTGTTGCTCCAGAAAATGTCCTACCTAGCAGCAACGTTTCCAAACAAGAAAAAGGTCCAACGACCACCGTTTTCTCTACACCTAGCAGAAAGTTGACCTAACACGCGAACCCAACCCAACCCAAAAAAGCAAGGTTAGGGTTTCATATTTAGCTACCTGAATGTGAGAATGACCTGATCCAACCCAGAAAAAATGGGTTGGGTTGGGTTGGGACATGGGTCAACCTGCTAACTCGATTGTCAAGTCTAATTGGGACTATTTAGGCATTGATAAAAGTTTCCACTCTTTAATTTTTTCTATTTTGTCTTTACTCTGTAAATTATTAAATGTTCAAGTTTTTTTATTTTATATTTGAAATTTTAAGGTTAATTCTTTAAATTTTGATATTTTCATATAGTTTTTCTTTATTTTTTTAAATTTCAATTATTTTTTAGAATGACTCCAATTGACACATGAGTCAACCCTAACCCGAAAATTTAGGGTTAAGGTCTAGTATTTGACAACCCAACCCAAAATTCAACCCGACCTATAATCAATCCAAAGTATCTTGACCAAACCCAAACCCGACCCATACAACCCAATTGCGAGGTCTAGTTTTCTCAGAATGCCAAACATATACAACGTGAATTCCACGAAATCGGCTTCAGCCTTCAGGCCTTCAGTCACTGCAATGCCCAATTGCCCATTTCAACAGCCTTTATATAGCCTTGTATCGGAAATATCTCCGTACTTATAAACTTTATTTCATAGTGAACAAACTTGCACAGACTGAAGCCGAACTCGGATTAAAGATCGGTCCAGTGTAATTTAGTAGAAATTGGAAGGGTGAAATGGTCTATTTGTGCAAATCTGTGGAGTCCTCGTTGTCATTAGCCGGGCCACATACCGTATCATCTAGAGCGACACCTATCACATCAACAAATCCGACGGACAAAATGGGAACCCAATCCAAGTGCTCTCGTTCGTTCCACTTCTATCGCACCCACCCAGTTTGGGTTTGCCCTCTCTTCCCTCTCTCCATCCCCGAAAAGCTGTCTCTAACTCTAACCCAAACCCTTGAAAACGAAACCGTCGTAACCCAGAAATTCTCTATTTCTAATTCCAGTGGCCTTTCTCCTTTGAATCTTTTCATTTCAATGGCGGAATCACTATCTCCTCATGGAAACCTGAAAGAGTTGACAGACTCGGAGATGGAAGCAGCTCAGCAGCTGATGCAATTAAGCGCAGACACCGAAGAGAGCAGCAACAAGGAAGAGAAGAACCAGAGCCAAGATGATATCTCATCCTCATCCAGAATTAAAGAAGACATATTCAGAAAGGAAGCAGTTGTTTTCCGACGCAAGGAAAGGCGGTTCCGATCCCTTACGTCCATTTACATGTCGACGGAACCTTTACAAGTCGTCGTCCCTGCAGCCAAGAAGATGAGATACTGACTGGGAATGGTTTGAGTTTAGGAAGCAAGAATTAATTCGCGTCTCTAACTCCAATCACCCCCCCCCCCCAAATTTGCTGCGTTGTTCTTTGCTTTTTCTTTGCTACTGATAGACATGACAAACGTTTGATGCATACTAAAGCTGATCAATTAAGTAAATTTCTTACTTAAAAAGTTAAAACCTCTCTCTCAACGAACATAGTCTATATGGGTTTATTACAAGGATCAATAGTCAATCTTTGTGTCACTGGTAATGACTTGACCATTCGTTTATATTGACCATGTAAAGACATCATCAACAGTTTCGTGTTTCAACCTTTTCTCGTAATGGTGTTTGGACATTGGAAAAGCCATACATATGAACAGATTTGGTGAATCAGACAACTTGACCACTTACTCAGACTATGCATGGTAGGCGCTAGAGTTTCAATTCAAATTCAATAGCCAGGTGATCATGGTAGATCAAACCCAAAGTAGATTAAGGTAGAATAAATCCCCGAATTTAAATCATATATGGCCATTCATCTTTAATTTCTTGTTGTTCTTCTGTAATCGATTTTGTGAAGTTAGAAATGACATAGGCTCCCATGCATTTGCTGATGAATTCCCATCCAAGTCACCATTCTTCATCTCTGAAAAACTGATGGATTAGCATCCTTTGATGATGAATATCATCTAATTACCTACAACTAATAGCTTCTTCATTAGTACCTGTTCAAGTACAGCCACTTCAGAAATACCAGTCCAAGGTCACCAACAAATTTACAGAGCCATGTTTAATCACTCATTATTTATTTTATAGATAAATGATTCAATTAGAATAAGAAAGGAAAAGGAAAACCTTACGAAATTTTGATGGGATCTGGACCCAATTTGATTCGGGCTCTATTTCATATTTAAGGAATAATATCGAAGCGCTGGAACAGTTTGGTGGTTACAAGTTGCAAGTTTGTTTGCTACTACACACATGGCTAGAGGGGTTTCAATTTCCTGTATTCATAAACTTCATTGAACTTGATTCGTTCAGTGTTCAAGCACATATAAATTGGTTAATCCTTTTTGTGATGACGACGAAAAGATATTATTATCAGTAGAAGATCCAGGAGAATTCCGGCACGATCAATTTGTGATATTTTTCCAAATACTGATTTCCGTGGTTGCTACTTATCTCTGACTCAATTCACAAAAGTGATGAACAACTGAAGGGTCAAGTCAACCAGTTTCAATCACTGACTTGGCCATCATTCAAACACGTATAGAGTTCAGTCCCCCTCAGATTTTTCTTGGTTTTAAAGCTTTCCCAGTTTCACTTGGGTTTGTGACCAACCAAAGGCCGGAGACTCGAGCATTGTCGAACTAGTTCTGCACCCTCATATATACACGAGCTCTTCTGATCCAAGTCATGAATGAGCTTGGTGATTGATATGGGACTCAGACCATCCAAACATGCAAATTCACAGGGTCTGGTCTCTCAATTAGCACTCCGCAACTGAAAGCATTTGTGATCTGGTTAAGCTACATAGGATATAGATAGGAAATTTGGAATCTAATGGGCTAAATGCACTTAATAGGTGACGCATTATTTCTGATTCATATGGCAAATTGCAATGCAACAGCCTTCGCAATACACACAGCTAGTGACAAAAGAGGGTGTTTGTTTCTGTTAATGTTTATTCAGTAAATGTTAATTGACGGTGTCACATATGCGTTACTTCAGCATTTTCTCTCTCTTGCTCTTCTGCATGCATTGAAAATGAAAAAAGCCAACTTTGGTTTTTGTGCATGCCAGTCATTTGTGAAAGTTATTTTTAAAGTTTCGATAAACGACCTAGCATTTTTTAACTATTACGTTGATGTGGAGCCTAGTGGCGCACGGAATCAAACACATACAAAAATGTTCCAGCTGGGTGGTTTTTCATCTTTCTCAATGATCATTTGTTTCAACTTAGGCCCCGTTCGCATTTTGGTAAGTTATTTATCTAGGTAAATGCACTTGCCTAGGTAATTGTTTCCTATGAAAGATTTACCCAGGTAAATGTACTTACCCATGTTCTTTTATTTCCCATGTAAATAAGGTATTTACTATTTTATCCATAAAAATAGATTATTACAGGGGGCATTTTTGTCCCTTTCAAGTGTTGGCAACTTTCCACAAGGTGGCAACTTTCCCTCAAGCGTTGGCAACTTTTAAGTGATAGCCAGGAAAATAAAATTTCCCTAATCCCCACACAAATCTGAAAAAAAAAAGATTGAATTTTTTTATCAGTGGGAATCAAAATCCCATTGACCAATTTTTCCCCCTCTCAAAATCCAGAAAAAGAAAACCCCCCTAACTTTTTCCTCCTTGGGCTCTGTTCATTTGCCATTATGTAGTGGGGTAAGTTGGTCAATTAGTAAGTTGACCACAAACGTCACTATAACTGAGGATATCGGAAAGTATCAGTTATACAAATAACATACTGATATCCTCTTACAACGTGGATAAACAACTTATGCGCATGCCGATAAGCACTCTCTCCCTCCCAGTTATTTCTTTACTCCAATAACTTATAACATACAAAAATGCTGGAATATCACTGAGAAACACTTGTTCAAATAAACATCCTTACGCACGTAAGTAAAAACAGGAAGGTCCCTAGGAAAACTATTTATTATTTACCCTTCTTTTTATCTTCTTGCTAGTTGAGAAGCCATTGAATCCAAACTGTAAGCTCCAAAATAGAGCTATGTTAGGGCACTGTCTTCTGGTTTCAACGAACTGAAGATATTCTACAAAGAATCATGAAGATTCATAAACTTCGTAAGCATACAAGAATATATAAAATAGGAGCTTTTTTTTTATTTGTTTCATAAACTTCCAAATATAGAACCTATGAAATTAAAGTCACTAGCGGGTTCAGCATACTAGGATTAGTAGGGAATTTGATAATTGGGCCGGGCTTTGCCCCACAACGAACAATTCCCACTGATCGCCATTCTTTACCATCATTCTACTTTGTGGGCCTGGGATATCCGGATGCTACCAACCAAGGGCTATTGTTGGTCCTATTTGACCTATTTGCAACCACATGGACCGGGTCACAATGTTCCTCTATCAAGGTCAAATATTTTATGTTAATGGATGGTCATAGATGGGGACGTTAATGTCTCAGGTTTGATGTGGTTTGGTTCACCCCAATTATATAAAGGGTAAATTGCTGAAACCTCCCCTGGAGTTTTTGGTTATTGCTAAAATCTCTTTTCAAGTTTGATAATTATAATCATCTCTTTTGAACTTTCTGACATCGTTGCAAGTAGACCTCCTCCGATAGTTGTCTCTTCTAAATAGAGGCATGAAAATGTCTAAAATTCTTATGCATTTGCTTTTGATAAAAATGTTTATTTTTCAAATTTTCTCTTTGTATGAATCATTACTCCAAACCCTTCTAATCTCTTTTCTGATATTAATTTTTTTTTTTTTTCAAAATTTCCCATCATATCATATCAGTCACTTGAAGGGCTGCAAGTGTAGAAACCAACCTTAATAGTAATTGTATGGGTATTTTGAGCATTTAAATGCATTTTTTTGAAGATTCTATCAGAGCTGCAACTGTATCAAAAAGTTGAGGGGAGGTTATTAGAGTAACTTAACTTCAAGGGAGGTTTTAGAAATTTACCTTTAGGATACCGTTCCTGTAGGCACAAAAAGGTTATATTTTTTTCAAATGTTTAATCGACACTATATCAAAGGATCAGGTTTATTTAGCATGAACCCTAATATGATTAAAATTCTGAGTTGGGCCAAGCCGGGTTTATCACTGACATCCTCACATCCCTAGCGATGGAGTAAAGGGACCGACCATCATGTCCCTTCGACCGACCAGCCATGGTTGAACCGGTTCAATTTTGGGCGATGCAAGCAACATAAAAAAGTAGATATTCAGGGGCGTTTTGGTCTTTTTGTCAATATTTATTTGGCTAGGAAAGGATGTCGCGCAGCACATCGACCTCAAGCTCCGAAATTTGGAATACCATTACGTAACCTCGGTCAACGAATCTAACGGATTACCAGCCACGTAGCGTATTATATTAAGATGGAACTGGGTGCATATCAGAGAGGCCTGTCCGTCATCCCAATTCTTTCCTACTTTCACGCTGCAAATTCTCTCTCTCTCCCTCCAAATCCCAAATCCGAAAAGCAAAAGGCCTCCGACTCTCCGAGCTTAAAACGCGCTCCACGCCAAACCTATAAAGCAAAAAACCGCCCAACACAATTCCAGAATCTAGAACGACCAAAACCCAAAACTGAATAAAGGAAAAGGTCTCTACTTCCCTCGATCCTCTCTTCTTCTGAATTGACTTTGTGTGCGCCTGCTTGTTTTCAATGGCGGAATCACCATCTCCACACAGTACAAAGAAGGAGGCAACGGACCTAGCAGATGTGGCTGCAGCTCAGCAGCTCATTCAGCTTAGCGGAGATGAGGAAACCCACAGCAACGGCAACGATGAGAGAAACCAAAATGATGGCGATATCTCTTCAAGCAACAAACAAGAGATCATCAGAAAAGATGAAGTCGTCGTTTGCAGGCCGACGAAAAGGAGATTTCGGTCCATCGTCTCTATCTACAGGGTGACGAAGCCCATACAAGTCATCAGCGCCAAGAAGATACGACGTCGATGAAAGAACCCACGAGCCACGAATTGGGTTTACAGGTCGGCTTTGAATGGGTCGAGAGCTTTTTTGGGGTTTCTTTTATTAATTGAAAGACCGGAGATTGTTTACTGTTTTTTTCAGTTCAATTCGATACTTGATCTCTCAATTTTCATGTAATCATGAAACGCTTAGTTAAGATTCAAGAACGCTATTGAACTTTGCCGAGCTCTCTCTCCATTTGTGTAACTTAATTTCCTCTTTCTTTTCTTTTTTCTTAAAATTGTTCATTTAATGGCTTGGATTCAGTCTTTATTTGAAATTTCAAATGCTCTACGAAGGTTTAAGAGTCCAGACAAAAGCCTAAGGCTAGCTCTCTGCAACTTTGTTTCCATACAATGGACTTTGAAGCTCATCGCCAAGCTAAGATGATGGCAATTTACGTCTGCTGCAATCATAGTGTACACATGAAGATAAATGAAAATAGTGGATGGT